GAAGGAAGTGTGGGCGGAGTTTAATTTTGACCAACGTGAAGGAAGTGTGGGCGGAGTTTAATTTTGACCAACGTGAAGGAAGTGTGACGGGGCTAAGGCGGCTGTCTTGCGCTGTGTTTTCCAGCGGTCTGTCTCACTCGGTGACAGAGGACATGCAGATGATCCAGCAGGAGTCTCCGGCTCTGAGCTCCTCCAGCAGGAGAGCGTATGAGGAGGACGAGGAGCAGGAGGACAGGCGCTTCTCCTCCAGGTGCCGCTTCATTCCTGAGGCTCTGTTTGTGTCTCCTGCTGTGTGTTCATGAGCGTGTCCTGCGTCTCTTCCCACAGGCTCCTGGATGAAGCTGCGGGATCGTCGGATCGGTTCTTCTCGAAGCAGACTGATGTCTACCTGGACCCAGACGACAGGTCAGATGAAGCACTGCACCGCACTGGAAATAAAACTGACATGTACTGCGACTCAGTGTTTCTGTGCTCGCAGGGCCTCCGCGACGAGGAAGGAGCCACAGGCCGTCTCTGACGACGCTCAGAGGAAGTTCGGCGACGCCAGAGCCATTTCATCCGACATGTTCTTCGGGAAGCAGGACAATGCAGAGGTGACACGTCAAACAGACTCCGCTGAGAAACATGAGCTCTGTGGTGTTCAGGGTTGCCGCAGGTCCTTAAAAAGTCTTAAATTTAGTTGTATCAAATTTAAGGCCATAAAAAGTCTTAAATTGCACAAGAAAGTCTTAATTATGATTTCAAGAGGTCTTAAATTTGTGGACAGAAAGACTAGAATTGCGAAATGGCTTAATGTGACGATTAAACTTCAAAAGGCTATGATTTCATTAAATAAATATGAGCGCTGCAAAACACGCAGAGCTGTAAATGTGAACCGGTGGATCGATAAGAAGATAATGCATTATAAAAAGCTAAACAATTAAGAGAGTAAAATATATGTTATATGAGCAATATCACACTCGTAGATGTGAGATATGGCTGTATATCGGCACGGCTGTGACTCGGCCGTAGGTAATCACAGTGTGCTATACAGCCATACCTCATGTCTACGAGTGTGATATTGTGTTTATACAACAGTTTGACGGCACAAGTGTGTAAATACTTTAAAAAATAACAACAGAGTGTATTTAAAATCCCTCTTTTGTGCATAACTACTTCCTTCTGCCAGGAATTGAAATCTAAAGTTGACAGTTTAACAGCTGAGCTCAAGATCCGTTACTAATTCAGAAACGTCACTTTAGAACTAGTAACGAAGGAACCTTGAGTTGCTTCATTGAAAGCTTATTGTATTACTGTAGTAAAAGCAGTGTATTATGTATATGAGAGATTGATTGAGCGAGTGTGATTACCTGCATCTGATACTGCATTCATTCTTCAGCTCGGTCTCATATTCACAATAAAACATTAGTTTGAATGTCCGCTGAGGAAAGCGATATCTTTGTCGTACTATCCTTTCATCTGTTAAGGGTGATTTCCATTGACAGCGCTGCTCTGTGCATTTGTTGGCTGCTTTACAAGCTGTTGTTGAAAGTAAAAATAACTTCCTTGTTCAAAACTAGTTCAAAACACTTTTTAGTCTCTTTCAATTTAAAAGTCTTAAAACTGCTGACTCGTGAAACAGTATCTTGTCGCCATCTAATGGCGGAACAATGTGACTAAAATCACCATCACGAACACACACACACAGTTTACCAATACCAAATACTATTATTTATATAAAATATTATGTATTGAATAATAGTGTTTAATAAACAACAACAACAGCCATCATAAAAGCTGCTAGGCAATTCAGTCAAAAGTACAAAGGCAGCGCTCTGATATACAGCATTGAATTTACATAAACGTGATGAGATTTTGCCAAAACTATCTTCTCTGGAACAAATAATAAATTAATGAGACCAAAGACTGCCCGTTAGATTTACCCAAAACTAATTATATCTCATGTTTTCAAATAGACGTTATCTTTATTAACAAACCGCATATTTGAAGTCCAAACAAGTACATTCTCGCCTAAAAACTCTTAAAACTGCATTCAGTGACATAGAACAGTATTATTTATTAAATTATAGTGGATTTGGGCGTCCACCATGACACTCGCTGTGAGAAATACTGCAAGCGGAGTGATGCATGACTAATACCGCACTCTTATCAGCCAATCAGATTCGAGAACCAGAAGAACTGTTGTATAAACTAATATAACAATTGAGTGATAATAATTGTATAAATTAATATAATAATTTATACTTTTGACTCATCCATTTTCTTAAAAATGGTTTAAAAGCTGTGAAGTTTATCATTTTATAAAACATTTTGTTTTGTGAAAACGTGTATCTGAACTGTAAATCATGCTTTTACAGTCATTTTACAGTTTAATATATTACTATAGACATTGCCCCACCGTGCTCATATGGTATTAATTTTATTTGTGCAGGTCTTAAAAGCGCTTAAATTTGAGCTCAAAAGTCCTGCAGAAACCCCGGTGTTATTGTGACATGTTTTCTGATTGCAGTATGAGGTTCGGGCGCGGCTGGAGAATTTCTCGGGCAGTTCAGCGATCAGCTCAGCCGATCTGTTCGACGAGCAGAAGAAAACAGCAGGTGCGTGATTAATCGTAGAGTAATCCTGATCACGGTTTCTACTGATGTTGTCTGCTGGTTATTTATCTGGAGAACACTGTTTTCATTTGACACTTCCTGAAGCCAGTGTTGGGGGTAACGCATTACAAGTAACGAGAGTTACGTAATCGGATTACTTTTTTCAAGAAACTAGTAAAGTAATGCATTACTTTTAAATTTACAGTAAAATATCTTGGTTACTTTGTTTCCATGTATTGACTGACAGCTCTGGTGTTGCCATGGTGACAGAAATCAGGAGTAAGTGCAGAGTGTTGTGTGTGAACATGATCTTACTGTAGTTCTAGACTAAATATGAACATGTATTCACTCATCTCACCTGCACAAAAACACATTCAGTATTCCTTAAAAAATTAATAAAAACTGAAATGCAATCTCAGAATATGACACACACCTGCAATGATTAAATATGTTAATAACTGAATTTACATTTTCCTTCAGCCCAAAGCTGATTCATTTCACTTTTGTTGTGAAAGGGATTTTACATATGCCAAAAATATAACTTTTTATTTATTAAAAACATACGAGCAAGCCCAGCCCAAATGAGAAAAAGTAACGCAAAAGTAACGTAACGAGGGATGTAACGATTCACTCAACTCCCGATTCGATTCACGATTTTGATTTCACGATTCGATTAATTTGTAAATAACAAAATTAGATTTAAGACAATTATAAATGAAATATGTCCTTGATTTGTTTAGCATCTCAACCGAATCGTCACATATTTTAATCGATTTTCAACCGGCTCGCGGTTAATCGTTACATCCCTAAACGTAACGCATTGCTTTTCATAAAAAGTAACTAAGTAATGCAAGTAGTTACTTTTTTAGGGAGTAACTCGATACTGTAATGCATTACTTTTAAAAGTAGCATTCCCCAGCACTGCATGTAACACACGATGTTGTGTGTCTCAGCGGCGTCCTCCGGCTCCTACAGCCTAAGCAAGGTTCTGCCGGCCGTGCCGGACATGACGCAGTTCAAGAGCGGCGTTCGCTCGGTGGCCGGGAAGCTGTCGGTCATGGCCAGCGGAGTCGTGTCCACCATACAGGTCAGTCCCTGCGCTAACTAACCCATAACTAACCCGTTCATCTGTGTGGATGAGCTCTGGACGCTGTGTTTTCTTCCCTGCAGGATCGCTACAGCACATGAGTCCTGAAGAGTCCGCTTCCTTCGCTCGCCTCTGTGTATATTCATCATTTACTCGAGCAGCATTCGTGGGTTTGACTGGGATGTGTTTGTTTAATGTCGCAGCTTGAGTTTTGACTGAAACGAGTCATCGTTTGATCACTTGGGGACCAAAACTCTTGTTTATTTGAAACGTTTGCACTTTACTTCAGCTGTGTGTCCTACAGGAATATCGTACAGGTGTGTTTGTTTACGATCATGAAGAAAGAGGAGATCTTCACACGCTCGTGTGATGCTGTTCTCATCGAAGAGCTGTATATGATGTGTAATGTAGCATTGCATATGTGATGATGAAGATGAAGATGAGCAGCTTGTTTCGCACACTACAAACGTGCCAGTCGTTCACCTGAAGCCTTATTCATCTCATTGCCTCATCTATGTTTGTTTATGGTATCTGTTTATCTTGCTTTGTCCTTTATGAACATGAGGGGTCATTAAACGCGGTGGGTGATTTGTGGTAAATTGGTTTAACTCAATAAAGATCAGACTTGATAAGAAACTAAGCTGTGTTTTGCTCGCTTAATAGCTATAATCTGTCATAATGCAAAAAAGAGACCATAAGAATTGTTGTAAATTTTAATCCTACATAGATATTCTAATCATATATAAATGAATAATCAGATAAAATTTTAAGAATAAAACTGCTTGATCCCGGTTGCACAGATATGAATAAAACACCCACTTTACAATAGTTTAAAATTATTGTTATTAAATCTAAAATATATATATTATTTTAATATAGAATATTTAATATATATATATAATCTCAACCATTTACGGTTGCTGAAAAAAATATGGGCGCCTTGCGCTGAGCGCCAGATGTTTCCCGCTCTTCCTCATTCAAATCTCAGAGTGCTGTTTGACTTATTACCGATATTGGTGTACCAGAAACTATAATCGTTTAAATGTTTTACTTCTAATCATTAATTCCTGATACACATATGTAAATAATCTCCAGAAAATTATTATTTTTTAATCCCCATCTAAAAACCACACGCAGCTGTGATTGGTCAGTTCTGACCAGCGCTGAGGAAAGTAACGGGTATCACGTGACAACGCTGCCTATGTGCCGTTTCAGCAAAAATAATTTGTAGCGAAACAGTTACACTCATTAGCTTTAATAGACACTGAAATACGCATAAACGGTAGAGAGTTAAAACAGCGTAATTATTATTTGGAATCGCCTAAGCCCCGCCCACTCCGTTACGTCAGTCCGCGCCTCTGCTCTGATTGGCTTTCGGCGGAACGGCTGCGTGGCGGTGTCAGCCTCTGACGAGAGAAAAGCTCCTCAAGCTTTGCTCAGAGTTATTATTCTCTAGACTCGCATCTGCGCGGAGCAGTTTCAGTCATGCAGGTCAGCGGCGTGAAGCAGCGACAGAAGAGTGTACACAAGCAGCAGAGCGGAGAGAAGCGCCGGACCGAGGAAGAGGAAGAGGAGAAGAGAGCCTCTCGCTTCAGTCCTGATGGGAAGCTCTGCGTCGCTCTGATGTGTCTCTCGGTCTCGGTCTTCATCACATGGTGAGTGTCAGACGCGCTCAAACTCCACAGCAAACCCGCACTCTGAGCTTTAAAGTCTGCTCTCGGCTGTCCTCCGCAGGCTGCACGTTCAGCAGGACGCGAAGCTCGCAGGAATCACCGAGAAATACGAGCGTTTGTGTGAGAAGAGCCGCGGCGTCCTGGAGCTGGAAGAAAAAATGGCTGAAATCTCTCAAAAGGTTTGTAAATCACTCAAATCAGGCCCGTTCACACCAAGCACGATAACTATAGAGATAACGATAAAGGTATCGTTCTAAAAATTGTTCTCAATATTAAAGAACGGCAGAGTCCACACCACAGCTGTAACGATAAAGACAGAGAAACGATATCGTTTGAATCTCTTTCAGAGCGATTTTCCCCAGCTGATGAACGATACATTGACAGCCAATCAGAATCCATCCTGCTGTCACGAGCTGGAGAATTTAAAGCGGCAGACGCGCATGCGCTGAGAATAAACAGACGATATCGCTAATATCGTTACCGTTATCGTTCTTGGTGTGAACGAGGCTTAATAGCTGTATTTGCACCCTTACGCAAATTAACCATGGTTTTATTGTAGTAAAAGCATAGTAACCATGTTTTGTTTTTTTGGCGTATTGATTAGCATTTGTATGACCATAGTTTCACAACAAATGCCATGGTTATAGTATGGTTAGTGCAGCAAAACCATGGTTAATTTCTGGTTACCATTGTTTAACTATAGTCACTGTGTTTTTCTCGTTTTCAGTTTATATTTTCACAAACTTTTACATTATTTTCTAGAAAAAACAACAACATTCGAAAGAATAAAAAAATGACAAGTAATGAAATTAAGTAAAAAGTGTTAAAATACATCTCAGTGCCTTGAATACAAAGCATTTTCTACCACGCTGAAATACATATATATTTATATATATCTTTATTACAGTCTTCAGACACTTTAAACCACTTTTGACTGTAAGCCCCACAAAAATAAAACCACTTTTTATTGAGAAATTGACGTTCATCATAAGCAACGTGTATTTGAGTCTTGTTCAATCAACCATCCACCAATCGACGGATCAAAATCATGCCCACCCTCTTTTTTTACATTTAATACGCATTTCACGCAGATACGTCACGATACGATAGTAAAGTAATTTCTGTTCCGCTTAATAACTTCAGACCAAAAATCAATGAGCGTCATGTTTGATTCATTCTAATGTAGTTTGAGAGAATGATTATGAAGTCCTCGAGCAGAAACACGTCCATCTTCACTAGAAATAGATAAAAACAGTCGTGCTGCACAATATTTTTGTGTCAAAAGCCACTCAAAAAACCCCGCTTTCTCACCCGAATTAAAGGGGATTTAGTCTGAATAAAATGCTAGTAGCAGGATTGTAAAATGAATAGATGTGATTATGATCATTTGATAAAATGAAGAGAGAGCACAGTACGTTTGAGATCATTTTACTTTGTTGAGTGTTTCCTATCCCGTCACGGAGACCGCTGAACGCGCCTCTTTAAATGGTCTCGTGCTGCTCGTTATTGTATTTTAAAACACTATTGCAGTGTTTTCAACAGACATTATGGCATTTAAAATAAAATTATCCCAAACGTAACTGTGGCTGCGCTGCTTGAAACACCTCAGAATTACATTTTAGTCTGGGACTAGGCTTAAGCCTTGTCTGTGAAACCGGGGATAATGTATTATAACTGTGGTTACAATTATTCATGAGCTCATACAATGCATTATAAGGTGCATTACAAGGCATAATTCATGCAATAAAACTACTTTTATAACGCATTATTTAAAGTGTTACAGAGAAAGTGTTATCTTTACATTACAAAATTCTAATTATCTCAAACTTTAGAAAATCTAAATCGTAAAATAAAATGGAAAAGAATTCATGATAACCGGATGTTATTTACTGAACGAGATCAGCGTAGTGTGCTAATGCTTGAAAGTTGATGGCTGCATGCTGTTTTCATGCAGCAGTAGTGCACTAGTACTGAAGTGTGAACGCAGGCAGATCAGATCAGTCTCAGCTGATGTGGTGTGTTGTGAATGCAGCTGCAGGCCTCTTCTGCGCTGAAACACGCCGTCAGCTCCACACTCAACACCTCGGCCGCGCTGCAGGCGGAGCAGCAGGCGTCGTCACTCCTCCTTCACGCACTAGAGGAGCGTGTGCGCGGCGCAACGGAGGCGCGGGGGAGAGCTGTGAGCGAGGAGCTGGAGGAGCTGAAGAGGCGCTCGCGAGCCGCACACTCACACGTGACGGAGCAGGTGAACGCGGCCGAGGCGCTCCTGCGTGAGCTGAGCGAGCGGCTGCAGGAGGTGCAGGACGGGACGGGGAGGAACGCGCGGGCGCTGGAGCGCAGCGAGGAGGAGGACGCGGGACGCGTGAGCGATCAGCTGCACTGGAGCGAGCGCAGAGTCTCACGGCTCCAGGAGCAGCTGCAGCGTCTGGAGGAGCAGCGGCTCGAGCTCCGGCAGCGGCTGGACACCCGCGCTCCTCAGCACACGCACCTCCCCGCCGCAGAGGAGGCCGTGCGCTCCATGCTCAGGGTGCGCGCGCAGCTCAGCGCCACCTACAGGAGGCTGGAGGAGCTGCGGCTGCAGGTGCGGAGCGCCGAGGAGCGGCTGAGGAGGACACCACACCACAGCTGAACTCTGATCTGACCGAGGCCAGACGCACCACACTCATGTGTCCCATCTACTGTACTTTTGACAAGCTCCATTACTTGAGTGAAAGTACAGATACTGCTGGCCAAATATTACTCCGTGACAAGTGTAAGTTGTAAAGACAGATTTTTACTTAAGTAAAAGTACAGAAGTACTTGCTTTTAAAAGTATGTGAATACTACATTTCCTTTTTTATGTCAACGCAGTATTTTTTGTTATTTATTATTAACTTTACAACAGCAGCACTGCTTTAACAAAACCGCGAGACGCCTGACCAGACGCACAGCTGGACTACTGTATGTACAGTGGCATCTCAGAGGAGTATTGCAGGCGATGGCATTTTAGCCATAATGTTGATTGTTTATCATTTCTGCTTGTCCTTATTTTTCTTAAAAACAAAGCTGAAATCTGGGTTACAGCATCTAAACAGGATGTAAACAATGTACATGTTAAAAGTTTTAGTGTGGAAAAACACTTACTAAACATTTCAGAGTGAAGTTATATCCAGTTTTACCACAGGCAGTGACAACATGGTGCCCGAAACCCATATTGCCCAAATGATGAGAACACCTTTACAGCTCAATAATACATATTTAAACAGAAGAATTGTTTTTAAACACGCATGATTTCACTGTGAAAACACTACCTCTACCTTTACTTGAAAATGGCTATAAAAATCAGAGCAACTTTTTTTTACAATCTGTAAATGAAGAATGGGTATAGGTGGTTTAATCAACTGAACTTCACTTTTCTGCTTGTAAATCCTTCAAAAACCCTGTTTGCTGGCTGAATGTAAATGTTGAGATCAGTCACAATTGTTTTGTTTTTTGTCTTTTTTAAGAGATCAGTCACTTTTTTGTGTGTGTTAATCAACATTGTGACAAATTGTATTGAACCTAGGGGGGTGTGATATATTTCGTCTGCGATTTAATATCTTAATTGTTGTTTTAACGATAAACAAGAAGTTAATTAAGAGACTTATGTTTTAGACACCATATTGCCTGTTTTTGCTCTATTTCACAAAACAAACAAAAAATCCAAAGTAACAGCCACAGCACTGTTATCGTTATCGATAAAATCCCAGAAAATATTGAAATATAATTTTTGTCGATATCGCACACCCCTAATTGAACCTGGAATAGTTCTTAAAGTCTCAGATTTGTTTTAATACATTTTGTACGCCACATAATTGAGTGTAAATGTATGTAAAGCACAAAATGCATCGGTGTACGTTTCACTCAGATGTCACATAATTTTGTGTGTATGTTGGATGTGCAGGTGTCACTGAGAGTTACATCAGAATGAACTCAAATATTTAATAAAGCAAAATATTTACATGTGACTGATTTATTTATCTGTGCACATTATTTCAAAGGGGGGAAACGAGCTTTTCTTCAAAAGGTTTTGTTTTTTTTGGGTGATGTCAATTAGGCGTGATCCACACACAAGTCTGGCTCCATTCTGCTATAATCATACACTTTTCATGATCTCTTTAATACTTGATGGATAAAATCATCCATTGAAATGTTTGTCTGAAATACATCAGATTATCAAAGTTAAACCGATTGTGAGCTCTATTTCATGCTGCGTAATTAAGACCTGCACTGTACGTCATGTAAACAGACTGTCAGAATAATCTGTCAGGATTGTCAGTTTTATTGATAAGTTCATATACCTCAGCCTGCCAGCAGGGTTCATCAGACACGTCGGTTTCAGATTCAGTCCTTCATCTTTATTTGAATATGGCAACATGACACCTCATTCTGCAATATTTCTATGATTAAATGACTGACAGAGACCCGTCCTCTCTCAGCCAATCGTAGCTAGTAAGCTTGCCAACATCAACCCTAGCAGTGAGCTCAACCCCACCCTTTTCTCCTTAGTAAAAGTAGTTTTGTGAACAGGTTTGAAGAGGAAACTCTTATGTGACCCCAGGACCTGATATTGAAGGAGGCGATCTCATGTCATTTTGATAAGTCTGATAACATTTCAGTTAATGATTTGTGAGCTGCTCTCACTGTATGTTATTGCATACTCCTCCTAGAATCTTTATCAGACCTGTGTGTGACTGACGCCTCTGGTGTGCTCTCTTGTGTAGTGTGCGCTGTTGTCTGCTCCGGCCGTCTCTCACACAGAGGCTCTGGAGGCGGAGGTGGCTAGGCTGCAGGAGCGCTTCTCCAGTCTCGCGGGTCAGAGGCAGCAGCTGCAGCTGAACCTGAGCGCTCTGGCTCGGGCCGTGGAGAGCGTGGAGCAGCAGGCCTCCAGCGAGGTGACCTCCAGACTGGCCTCCATCCGTACGGACGTGCGGCGCATGGCTGGGCTGGAGGGCGAGGTGGAGCTGCTGCTCACCCAAACGCAGGCCCTGGAGGAGAAGGTGGCCCAGACGGAGAAGCTGATGGTCAGGCGCATCGGCGATCTGCTGGCTGGCAGCATCGACCGCGTCTCCGCTCTGAGGAGCTCAGCAGAGAAGAGCAGCCAGCGGCTGGATCAGATCAGTGTGCTCGTTCACCAGCTCTCGGCGTCTCACCGTGAACTGTCCGAGCGCATCCTGGCACTGGAGAGCGGACAGGCCAAGCTGCTGAAGACCGCCAGCTTCGCCAGCGACCTCAAGCCCAAGGTCTTCTCCATCAGGCAGGACTTCGCCGTCATCCAGCCCAAACTAGATGACCTGACGCTGAGGATCGGCCTGCTGGCTGAAGACCTGATGAGCCGAGAGGAGCAGCGGAGTCAGAGAGAGGAGACGACACGTGACACGCTCGACCAGCTGACGCCCTGAAAGAGGAGGACGCTCAGTACATCAAGTAGTCCAGTCGTGCTTTGAACTGGAGACTAGTGCTGGAGCACACTGACGTCTAGTCACAGAGCAACTGTAAGCATTCAAGAGCTCCTAGTGAAATCTGCTGACTGCAGCAACACTGAAATGAACATCACCATGAGATCTGCCGTGACACTGACTGCCAGACTCATATGTGACCCTGGAGCACAAAAGCAGTCTTAGGTCGCTGGGGTATATTTGTAGCAATAGCCAACAATACATTGTATGGGTCAAAATTATCCATTTTTCTTTTATGCCAAAAATCATTAGGATATTAAGTAAAGATCATGTTCCATGAAGATATTTAGTAAATCTCCTACCGTAAATATATCAAAACTTAATTTTTGATTAGTAATATGCATTGCTAAGAACTTCATTTGGACAACTTTAAAGATGATTTTCTCAATATTTAGATTTTTTTGCACCCTCAGATTCCAGATATTCAAATAGTTGTATCTCAGCCAAATATTGTCCTATCCTAACAAACCATACATCAATGGAAAGCTTATTTATTCAAACTGACACTTATGGCTGGTTTTGTGCTCCAGGGTCACATTTATGGTGGTGTTGACGTGGTTCTGCAAGGTACATCAAAGAATAACCATCTACAAAGCATGGTACACTATACCAGTCAAACGTTTGATGCTAAGAATTCAGCTTTGAAATCACAGGAATAAATTACATTTTAAAATATATTCAAATAGAAATCTTTAAATAGTAAATTTTTTTGGGATCAAATAAATGCAGACTTTGTGAGCAGAAGAGAATTCCTTAAAAAAAAAAAAAAAACATTAAACATGTTACTGTTCAAAAATGTTTGACTGGTAGTTAACCTCTTTGTATTGGTGATACTGACTTTAAGAGCCGCATCTGACCAGGTTGAGTCTCAAGCTCAAGCCAGAACCTGTATTCAAGCGATATTGACTAGTGAATTCACGTAATGAGACGGTTAAGAAGAGGACGTGGAGGGATCTGTGGAGGAGTGCTGAACAAACCTGTAACGGCTTAATCTTTAACACACAGTGACCCCAAAAATCACCCATCAAAACCAGTGTCCTCTGTGCTCAGATGATGACCTGAGCTTTAAGCAGCTGGTGTCTCGCTGATCTTTCATGATGAAGTCCGTTCACGTCCTGCAGAAAAACCACCTGTGCAGTTCATTACATTCACATCTGAACATGTTCAATAAGGTTTGACGAGCAGAAAGTGTCCAAGACTTACATTTACATTTAGTCATTTAGCTGATGCTTTTATCCAAAGCCTCTTACAAATGAGGACAATGAAAGCAATCAAAATCAACATAAGAGCAATGATACGCAAGTGCTATAACAACTCTCAGTTAGCCTAACACAGTACTACACGTAGCAAGGTTACTTCTGTCTTTATTCTGAATATATCGATGGCTTCATATTCTAAAACCTAAAAAACGTTGAACATTTAAAATGTTTTTGTGAAAAATGTGACTGCTGTTTTTCTTTGAAATAAATGTTGATATTTTTAATGTAAAGACCATTTGAATTATTTCCAAATACAGTAGTCAGCATTTGAAGTGGATCAAAAAAGTTCATCAAAGTTGTCCTAAGACAAGAACGCTTTTTGGTTTTAGGACAAATTTGATGAAAGGTTTTCAAATGCTGACAATTTCTGTGGCTGCTGTGTGTTTGGAGTCTTCTAACAGAAATATCAGTTTTATAAGGTCAGTTACAGACAGTTAAGCAGTATTCATGTATTACAGTAGTTCTCTCTCATTTCTACAGTATGCACAAAACAGTTCACTGCCATTATATGATCGACTCCGATTTATTTTACGCTATTGATTTCTATAGTAAGCAGCCACTGACAGTCATGAAACTTTGACAGTGATTCGGTGATTACCATGATCCATGTTTGCATCCAAATCATCCTCAACTGCTTCTGAGAGAATCTCTGCTGTGTGTGACATTTTAGAAAAACAGGGTGAATTAAAATCATATATTTTGATTTGAGTCGTTTCCATTGATTTGAATGCTTTTGTCATGTTTTAAATTATTTTAAGTCATCTTGAGACACTCTTGGATGTTTGCTGATGAACAAAATTATATAGAAACTGTATTTATAAATGTAATTAAAATGCATAAATGTGAGATAATAAATGTGCATAATGCATAAATGCTCAGATTCTCAGTAGTTCACTTTGAGGTATGAAACAGTATGTTTACTGTAAATTTATGTGTAAATATCAAGGAAATTTAGATTTTCCATTTTATGACCGAGCTCTTTAAAATGCAGAAATGTTCCAAATTTGTCAAATGTTCTAATCATGTTATATTAATATAAATTTTTTTAAATGTTATTTTAGGTATTTTATTGGTCATTTGACACAATGGTTTGGAACATTGTATTGGAAAACAACTATAATCTTGATGCGTTCAGGGATTGTATTTTGGTTATGATGATGACTGAGCAAGATCTGATTAATTTACACTGCTTTTCCAGGTCTACAAATCATACTTGTGCAATTAAGTTTGGTCATGTATCCAGCTTTTTCAAGACTGTGTGAATCTTGGTTCTTCAGTGACAAAAGGGTGTATTAAAATCATTCAAATCATAAAATGTCTTGATTTCAGTTGTTTTAGTTGATTTTTAGCTGACCAATGCTTGTTTTGTCTTGTTTTAAGTCATCTTGAGGTCCTCTAGTAGACCGTGGCTGATTAACCAGTTAAACAAACATAATTATATGGAAAATACATTTATATTATTAAAAGGTTACTGAAACGTGTTAAACGTTCTCATTTTATGCATTTCTAGGTATCTTATAGAGCATTAGATTAGATGAAGACATGCTAGTGTGGAAGGGTTTTAATCATTTTATTGGAAAACCACTACAATGGTGATGAGCTCAGAGAGAGAATGACCGATAGCCCTGGAAAACCTCAGCAGCTAAAGGGTGTATTAAAATCATTAAAATCATAAAATGTCTTGATTTCAGTTGTTTTAGTTGATTTTTAGCTGACCAATGCTTGTTTTGTCTTATTTTAAGTCATCTTGAGGTCCTCTAGTAGACCGTGGCTGATTAACCAGTTAAACAAACATAATTATATGGAAAATACATTTATATTATTAAAAGGTTACTGAAACGTGTTAAACGTTCTCATTTTATGCATTTCTAGGTATCTTATAGAGCATTAGATTAGATGAAGACATGCTAGTGTGGAAGGGTTTTAATCATTTTATTGGAAAACCACTACAATGGTGATGAGCTCAGAGAGAGAATGACCGATAGCCCTGGAAAACCTCAGCAGCTATGAACTACAGTGCAGTTGTGTCTCGACTGAAGAGACCGCAGTTCACCCATTCATCGCTCTGATAGAGAGCTTTCACGTTTCCACCGCCCACAGCACCCATCATCCTGAACGACCGTTTCTGCCTCCAGCAGCTCATCTCGGGCTCACTAAGTAACGTTTTTAAATGCATCGACTGCTTCTTTCTCTTGACCAGCGTCCAGTTCAGATACTTGGGTCTGCAGCTCCTCCAGGCGGCTCCTCAAGCCGTCCAGTCCGTCTCTCAGCGCCTGGCTCTCTGTCTCGGCGGTCGTCTTGTAATCACCCAGCGAGCGCTGCTGGGATTCGTGCTTGGCCGCGAGAGCGTTCAGTCTGTTGGTCTGCTCCGTCAGCGAGGACTCCATGCCCTCCTGGCTCTCCTCCACACTCTTCAGCCGGACCTCCACGTCCTCTCTGTGCTTCTCCAGCTGGAGCAGCTGGTCTCTGGAGTGCGTCTCCAGGCTCTGGAGGGCGGTGCTGGTGTGCTCCAGCCGGTCGCTGAGGCTCTGGATCTGGTCCGAGGCGCTCTGAGCGTCGGCTCGAGCCGCGGACACCTCGTCCCTCAGGCTCCCTGCGGCGCTCTGCAGCAGCGTCCTCACGGCCTCCACGTCCTCGGACACAGACGCCACCTCCCTGTTCCTAGTCTGCTGCTCGGCGCTCACCGCTGCGATCTGCTCGCGCAGCACGGCTGTGTTCCCCTCGGACACCTCGCTGGCGGTGTGGAGCGTGGCTACGGCGCTGCTGAGGGACTCCAGCTCCTGCCTGAGGAGCGCCGGAGCGTCCTGCTGCTCCAGACGAGCCCTGAGCTCCTGCAGCTCGCTCTGGAACCGGCTCTGCTGGACGGAGGACTCGGCTGTGGAGCGGCTCAGCTGGGACAGGCGCTCCTCCAGGGACGAGGCGTGCTTCTCCCGCACCTCCTTCACCTCCCGGATGGCCTGCGTCAGCTCCTGGGAGATCTTGCTCTGGAGGTTCTGGAGCGAGTCCTCCAGCCGCCGGGTGTTGTCCTCTCCTTTCTGCGCGGCTCGGCCGGTGCGCTCCAGATCAGTCCTGACGCTGAGCACCGCGCTCTCCAGAGCCTCCAGAGACGCCTGCATAGACCTGATCTGGAGACACAGATGGACAGAGACACTTAGGCTGTGTTCACACTGCAAGCCTTAGTGCTCAATTCAGAGCACTATTTTGCTCAGATCCGATTTTTTATATAGCTGTTCACATTTTGTTGTTTTACATGTGGCCACTATTAGATTTCCAGTGTGAACAGATCACGGTTCTGAACTGACCCGTATGCGCAAAAGACGATGCGAACAGGGTTGCCAGGTTTTCACAACAAAATCCGCCCAATTGCTGTCCAAAACTAGCCCAATCATGTTCCCGGGGGTAAATATTGTGTTAGAGGGGTCGCTTCAACCCACAAAGTCGAAAAACAACCCACGGCAACAGTAGCCCAGTTCTGTGGGGAAACTGATGGATTTGGCAACACTTGTCAACGCTGTCATGCGGAAGTAAACAGGGAGGACATAAATTAAGCGATTATGTGTTTATTTATAGTGTGATCTGCTGCAGAAGCCAATATGTACAGCGTGGAATTATGACGAATGCCAATCTAGAGTGACGTAAAAGTCGCATGATTTCCAATTAGGGTTGCAAAGGGGTGGAAAATCTCCGGAAACTTTCCAAAAATCCCTGGAATATTCCCCAAAAATCCTGGAAAGTTTTCAACATTTCTGGAATGTTTCCGGAATTTACTGGAAACTTTCCACCTCTTTGCAACCCTAATTCCCATATGACCATTCAGACTGCGGTCGCATTGCAAAACATTGCATAAAGCACATGGAATCTGATCTTTTCCATTTAGATTTGTGCCACTTCCACATGTGGTACTAAATCCGATACAGGTCAGATGTTTTGCGACTGCAGTGTGAACCGTCATGTCCGAATAAATGCGACTTTTACGTCACTCTAGATCGACATTCGTCATAATTCCGCGCTGACGGGAGACACTTCAAAGATTTGACACACCCAAAGTTATCAGTTGCGAAAGTAATCAGTGGAAGTACAGTGATGTGTCAGAACTCATAAGTATTACAGTGACAACTCTATATACAAGCTAAACATGAAGACTCGTATCATGCTCTCTTTCGTCACATCCTTGTCTTTATTTTTCATATTGCCTGCGTAGAATTTCTCTGGCTTCTGCGGCAAAACACACTATAAATAAACACACAATTGCTTACTTTATGTCCTCCGTGTTTAGTCTAGTATGACAGTGCGCTCCGCAAGTGTTGTCAAGTCCGCAGTTTTCCCTCGGAATCAGGCTACATTTTCACTGTTGCCGCGGGTTGTTTTTCAACTTCGTGACCCCACTAACACAATATTTACCCCCCCAGAACATGATTGGGCTAGTTTTGGACTAGTTTCGAGAAGCAATTGGGTGGATTTTGTTGTGAAAACCTGGCAACCCTGTTCATATCGTTCTTTTGCGCATGCGAGGTCAAGTTAAGAACCACGATCTGTTCACACTTTTGACAGCAAACCTAAAGATACTTAATCTAAAGGCATAGTCATACATGTCATTCAACCCGACCAATCAGGTTGTGAACATATTTTGTGACGGAACTTACCCCAAACAATAGGTGTGTTCGACTTAAAGCATTGCTGCGCAGACCAGAATATTTGGTCCGTGTTGCGTCCATATTTAATTTGAACCACACCAGAGTTGGTTTGGAGGCAGACCGAGACCCATCTTAAGTGGTCTCGGTCCGCTTGTTTGGTGCGCACCAGCGTTCACACTTACGAACCGCACTAACAGAGCAATCGCACCAGAGTTGGTTTTAATCGAACCAAACATGCCAAGTGTGAACGCACCTGTAGGTCTTCAGAAGATCACCTCAGAAAGGTGTGTTTCTTCCTGTTTTGAAGCATGTTTTGCATACTAGGGAGCGTTGCGCTCCTAGTCAAATATATGGTAGGTCATTATTCAGTGACATTCTGAAGATCTCCAGGAAATAAAGAGTAAGATGGGCTCTATATCAGAGCGAGTTTTTGTAATTTAATAGAAAAATGCATTATTAATGTGTGCATTTGAACAGACTGTCTAAAATCACTACTCACAGTCATTAACCTTCACTAACGTGTCCATGTCTAAGGGTTAAGTTTAGGCCTGTTCCTCACACGAAGACTTGGAGGATAGAGACAGTCATATGTACTTCTTTCACGGTGCTTTGATGCTGTTATTTTTGGACAGATTTCACCTGGATTGCATGGAAAAGAGCAGCGCAAACATTCTTCTAAACATCTCCTTCAGTACTGCACTCACAAGAGATACGGGTTTGGAATGAGCTGAAGTTGAATAAATAATGACAGAATTTAGTAAAAATAAACTTCATTCCTTTGTTTCGTTCGCCCTTGTGAAAACCAAGTGTATAAAGTGTACTTATTACACAAATAATAGACTTTAAAAGAATCCACTTTAGTGTGAATTTAATGTAATGTTTTCAAAACATTATTGAATATAATTTGTAATTAATTTCAAATGTATTATAATTCAAACGTATATTAAAAATGCAATTAGATGGACTTAAGAGTGATTTGTTTAGTATATTTAAAATGCATTTCAAGAACCATTAAAAAGTGTATTTTAAATAAACACACTATACTGTATTATAATAAGTAGTCTGATCATAAATAAACATTTTAACTGATTTTAAATGCATATTAATTTTTTTTAATGGGCCTTAATTTAGAATGAATTTTAAAACATTAATTCTGTGTTCAATTTAAATTGCCAGTGTATTTACAACACTATAAAGAGGCTTTTTGGCCTAATTTACTATTATATTCAGTGTATGTATATATATATATATATTCACATCCTTATATATATTAAATATAAATTGGATCTGAAGTGCACAGTAGTAATAAACATGCAATTTAAAGCATATTATTCAACATCTGCTTTAATCTTCATCTTTAAACATTTGATAATTTTTAATTCTATTGCTTGCATTTTGTTAAATTGCCATAGAATTACTTTACGATGCGTTGCATTTCAGACACATTAAAAACAGGAATTTTTACAGTCAAAAAAAAAATAATTGTTTATCATGTACTGACCAACACCAAATCTGTTCCTTTCCTTTAGTTACCTTACTGTGTAAGCAAGTGTAATGAAGTTTAGAAGAAAAGTACATTTCAAATGCATTAATGCACACAGTATATAACAGATATATGATGTGCTTCAGTATATACATCATGAACGTGTCTTAAGCGGCATTTGAGTAATATGTGATCTGCAAGTACACGGTTTAAAAAGTGTACTTTTGAGATTTGAAGTACACTGCAAGTACACATTCAAGACATGAAGCACACGTCTCTTGCCTTCAGGTTCGACAGAAGCACTTTCTTCATGAGTCTGTGTGTTTTAGGACTGACAGAGACCTGATCGCCTGGAACTGAAGCGCTGGGTTACAGGAGCACAACAGAGATGACCTGCAGGCCTCGTGCCGTGAGAGAAACCAAACCAGTCGCTCAGGTCTGGTCTGTCAGGACTCCCGGCTCAGAGCGAGCAAACGTGTGATTCTGAGACTCTTGCCTTGTCCAAATACCCACACCTGCGCTCTTGGCCACCTATGTCTATTCCAGGCTCAGAGTATCCCATCATGCATCATGCTTTGGAATAAATGATGAGTATTCATATTAAACTGTGTCATGTTATAGAGACTACCGAACAGACATTTAGAAGTTGATTTTAAAATTAAAATAAAGCTATGCAAACACTTGTGGTCTTCATGCTCACTTGGGCCAAACACTGGAAACCGGTCATATAATAAGTGGTCAAGAGACAGCAAGTGTGTGTGTTTGGACAAGAGGTCTGAAGGAGGAGCCGTCAGCCAATCACAGAGCACCACATCGTCCTGGGTCAGTCCTGGAGAACTTACTGTGAACTCATCACATGCATCCGAGTGAAAGATGAAGCAACAGCACTGAGCTCACGCTCTTCAGTCACAACCACAGACAGCATCTCAGCACGTTCTGAGTGCACATGTTCCTCACTCACACTGACCTGTTGCAGCGCGTCTGCGCTCTTCTGCACGCACTGCTCGTGTCTGGAGCTGCTGTGCTTGATCTCGGACAGCTCCTGATAGAAGCACACGGACGCGATCACGGTCCCAGCCACGAAGCCCAGGTAACTCAGCGCGGACAGCAGCTTCAGCGGCGAGCCCGACGCGTTGCTCTGCGCGCTCCGCGGGCTGCTGTCGGGCGGCGCGTTGGCGAGCGTCTTCTCGCTGTTGTTCGGCTGCGAGCTGTTCTTGTTTCTGTTCTTAGCGGCCATCGTTCCGATGCTCAGCGAGCGGCGCGTTGCGTTCGCGTTGTGTCCGTGGGACAGACGCGCGCGGCTCTAATCGCTTTATTCACAAGAACTTCTAGAAGAACGACTTCAGTTCCTCACAAACTCGCACGCTGGCAGTTCAGAGTTCCTAAAACGAACGAAAGTGTCTTTTGCTGAAGTTTGAACGCGTTTAGGAGTCGATACAGCGCAGAACTGACGCGGGGGCAGAGTCGAGCGTGAGTGTGAAGATGAAGGGCGTCGCGTCGCGTCCTCGCTCCGCCCTTCTTCAGACGTGGCACTGATTCTCCTCAAACATCCATCCCAGAGTTCAGTCTGACACAGTGAGCACGTTTACATGCACACCAGAAAGCTGATAACTCACCAATATCAGCTTATTATAATAACCAGTTTCCCCCGTTTGCATGCAGATCAGTAACCTGACAACACAAGTAAGCTGCGTTTACATGACTTGATTAATAAATCAGGTTATTTCCCTGTAGTGACGTCAAAACATACTCATTTGCATATCTGACTCCGAGCATTCCATACATGTGTCAGTGTGATGTTAAATTAAGCTTGCAACGTGTCAGAAGCTTACAGCTCATATATTATCCTCTCATGCAGTTATAAACGCAGCGTTGTGACTGAAGAGCCCGGACTCATGAAAATGCGTATACATAGTACGCCAAATAAAAACGAAAACTCGTGGTATTGATACGCAAAAATGGACTTCAATTATCAAGTAATTCTATTTCCTTTTGTTTGTTGATTAAATTCTTAACAATCTTTCTGACATTATATTGGAAAAAATCCCATTTATTTTTAAATCCTTCATTCCTGCAAAAATATTTTTAACGCAGGCATTGAAGTTATCATCTTTAAGAAGATTATTATTACAGGCCCTGTACCCTCTAAGGCTAGAGATCCTCTTTGAGCCTGTAAGAGTTAAAGAAATAAGTTTATGATCAGTTAATGGGGCATATCTATCAACAATTCCCTTCACGTGTTCTGAAATCAGCCTCACGTCACATCGCTCTGTCCAATCAGAGGCGCCGCCTGACGCTGCGCCCCGCCCTCTGCTGCAGTCTGAGCGCGGGAAGCGCGTGTGCTGCGATTAAACCCTGATCGGAATGAGCGAGTCCGCGAGTAAAGTGCGCTCCCTGAGCGACGAGCAGATCATCAACCGATGGGGCTTCGACTACTACGTGTTCAAGGCGTTGAGCGCCTTCAGAGACGCGGACTACACGGCCTTCACGCACTTCACCAGCATCATCGAGAGTGAGTGGGTTTGTTTACATCCGCGCTAGCGCTAGCTTTAGCTTTAGCGCTACACCTGCACAACCCGCCAGAGGTCTGTGTGTCGCTCACTATAATAATATTGGTGTGTGTCGTGTCAGATCTGGTGGTCAGACCCGTCGACGGACACAGCGACATGATCGTCAAGCTGCGCTGCATGCAGTTCCTGTCCCGGATCAACAACGGAGACAAGCTCGGTGAGTGAGCGGAAGTGACGCGTCATGACGATAGTGGTCGACCGATATGTGTTTTTTGACAGCCGATGCCGATATCTTGGAAAGCAGGGGGGCCGATATAATTTTATTTATTTTAATTAATATTTAAGAAATTTGAAAATGGATTAAAAAATAAATCTGTAAAATAAACATACGTATACTTTAGATGACAAAGTTTTTCACAAATAAATAAATATTTAATAAAAATCTAATTGAAAAGGGAGTAAACGCTGTAACCAACAGGGCACTCAGTATTCTGGGAAGTTTGTGTGCATTGGGAATCATATTTTTTCAAATAAAGCCAAGGTAACACTCATTTTACATACAGCACACAGTGAAAATGACATGAATATGACAGTGGGCTAATGCATAAAGTGCAGCATAATTTGAAATCACATGCAGGATACACACATGCACACTTCACGATCTCACAGCTGGATCCAACTAAGTCTGCAAGGTTTTTGAAATTAGATGTTCATTATTCATTCAAAGATTTGTTTAAATGATATGAATGCGTATTTGCTGAATGCTGACGGCAAACGAGAAAGTATTATGTTTGCCTTTCTATTACTAATAATATAATACTTTGTATACATTTAATTCCTTTGTTTAACCATTCTATCTGATTATTAGACAAAACTGATAATGACGACAGCCATCGGCCAAACAGAAAAACTTATCGGCTGATGCCAATATTTGAAAAATGCCAAATTTATCGGCCTTGGCGATATATCGGTCGACCACTACCCCCTTGTCCAAATACCCACACACTTGTGGTCTTTGCGCTTGAGCACTTGACTATTACACGATAAGACCGGCGGAAAATGAACGCCGGAATGAGAGTATAGTTCCTAGCCATATCGGCCTACAAAAACTCTAGCAGAGCTGGAAAATTAGCCTATTTTCAAAAATAGTGGAGTGTTCCTTTCAACAAAAAAAAAAGACAAATGAAGAATTGGAAAAACTGAACATTTTGTACATTTAAAGTTAAATTATTCTATCTATTGCACTTTGAGAGTTCAAAATTAAGAGCTGCAACCCATGTTCTTAACTAAGAAAACTTAAGTCAGAAAAAAGTCAGTGAATTGACTTGTAGCTGAACTTTAAAGCGGACTCAACCCTCTTTTTATTTGTGATCTACTGTCTCAGTCTAAATTACACTCACACTGGTGTTTGAGAAGCCAAACAAGTTAGAATATAATAATAACAACAATGACCGTAATAGCCATATATTGTAAAACAATTGCACTGTAAAAAAAATGAAAATGAATATTTCATAGGTATATTATTTTTGCTTTACACTACAGCAGGGAAAATACAATACTTCTTTCCTAATTTCTACACTTGAAAGAGATATTTTGAATCTGGACTGCATTTAAACCGCTAGCTGTCAGCGATTCATGCTGCACTTTAACGCTTTTATTTTGACGGAATCAAAGATTATTTTTTGCAATGTGCAATAAAACTGTTACATAAACAAAATATTATATTACTGCATAATTACCATAAAATATATAATGATTCAGTTTACATCGCCTTAAATAAAAGAAGAGAAAATCAAAAACACAATGATGCACATTCTTTATTCATCATTTTGTAGATGTAGAGTTTAAAAAGTTAAATCAGCATCTAGTTCTGAGCAAAGTGAGTGTTGAGGCCTGGTGAGTGTGAGCGCCGGTGCTGATGGGTGTTTCTGCGGCAGATCTGACGTTTGAGGAGCCCAAGACCCCTCTGGAGTCGGCTCTGAGCGTGCTGGAGAGCATCTGCCGGGACATGAGCGTCCCCCTGCGGGAGCAGGAGCGCGTCAAGCAGGCCATCATCGAGACGGTCACACACACACACACACACACACACTGCAAAACCTCATCTCACACCTGTGTGTTCTGCTCTTATTACACGACCTGCACTACTCTTCTGTAGTATTACACAGAACTGAGCGGCAAGTGGATGGCTCTCTATGTCATTCGGTCGCAAACTGAAGAAAAGTTTGTTCTTTGAGGCGTTTTGTGACTTTTCTGACTTCAGACACAAAAAAAGTGCAACACTTTGACACAATTTGATTTCTTGATGATTTGGTAGTTTATAACAGTGATTTTATAATTTCTAAATATAAAGCTAAAAGTAGAAATGAATGACTAATAAGCCGATAAGTGCTGCCTTCTACTGGTTATAATGGCGATTTGATGTGTTTTTTTAATTTAACGTAGGTGTTTGTTTACCACAAAACTATATTTTGGTCATACCATTGAAAATGACATTTAACTTGGATCGTGTTTTGAGCTGAAAATAGCTGCTTGCAATGCCTGGAAGTCATTTAAAAGTGCTTGAATTTCTCTCAGAAGGCTGCACAAACCCTGAGCGTGTCTCTGTCTGTCTGTGCAGCTGGTCATGGTGTGCCTGCGCGGCGGGGAGTTCGCCAGGGCCGAGGAGGTGCTGCTGAGACACTTCAGCGACGCCGCAGACTCGGCCGGGAAGGTGAGGAGCTGACGGAGCTGCGGTGTGTCTGGTGTGTGACGTCTCTGACTCGCTCTCTCTGTGTGTGTGTGTGTGCGCAGAAGAAGCTGTTCGAGAGCCTGATCCGGCGCCGGCGCTCCTCTCACTCGGTGCTGCAGCTCAGCTCCTACGCCGACTTCAAGCAGGACATGCTGGACTTCATCGAGCGGCTGTACCGCGTCCCCGAGCCCTTCCTCCTGCAGGTGCGCCTCACTCGCCTCGCTCGCCTCAGACGCTCCTGTCTCTCCTCACCCTGTGTGTGTGTGTGTGTGTGCAGATGCTGAAGCGATCCGGACACCCCGGCGTCAGCTCTGAGCCCGTCACCTCATCCTCACAGGACAGACAGAAGACCAGCGCCGCCGCAGAGGATCATGGGTAAACACGCATAGCACCAGTGAGACGTCAACTAGTGCTGTTACTAGTGCACACTTATTCACTTCTATTTGTTACCCACTTAATAACATTACTTCACTAAATGTTTAGATTTTATAAAATTACTGTGCACTCATGATTTTCCTAGAATAACTTTAGCTGCTAAATTATCCTCTAACCTAGTTTATAATAGTATTTTTGTCATAGATTATGATTATATATTTTTTCATTTGTTATTTTTCATTAAAATTAAGTTGTCTATATTTAGTAATTGTGTTTAACACACAAAAGAGTGATGATCAGATCAACACATTGAGGTATAGAAATTCTGCATTGATTTAAAGAAAACTAGTACCAACTAGCACAGAATCGGCCGATACTCAGAATTTTCTGGATCAGATCGGAAAAAATGGTATCGTTACATCCCTATATAATATCAACATACAATTACATATATATATTATATCATATGGCATAAACATAAAAGCCCATTGAAAATATTAATACATTCTACAATAGTATGTAAATAATACTAAAAACTTAAATGAAACATTAAAAATGTTGCCTTGGCAACTAACTGAAAAGTTGAAATATTTAAATAGCTAAAACTGGGATAAAATATGTAGAAATAGAAACATAAAGCACATAACTAAATGACTAAAACTTAAACTGTAATTTAAAATGACTTGAAATATAAAAAGCTAACTCAAAATATTAATACAAGCAATAACTAATAATGTGAGAAAAGCACAATTACTAAGCTTTGAAGCTATGAAAGTAAAAACTAACTCAAAATATTCATAAATACTAAAATAGTGTATAATTAATGCTGAAATGGCAATATGGATGTGTACGTAAAGCATCTGATGTTAATCCTGTGCATTACAACCGTGAAATGAAATGTAAATATTAGACGAAAATATGTGAAGTTAAAAAACCTAAATGAACATGAAACGAAATGAACTTGGTAACTCTGAAATATAAGAAGTAGAAATACAGAAATGACTAAAACTGAAGGCTTAATGGAGTTATTTAAAGAAAAAAAAACAAAGACTCGAGCACATACGTTTACTAACCTTAGACCAAATGTAAATATAAAAAGGTAAATGTGAACCGATCCTGTGCTAGTGTATAAATGTGTCTGCTCTTGTTCCTGGTGTGTGTTAGCAGTGTGTCTGCGCGTCTGAGTCTGCGCAGTCTGCGGCAGGTGTTAAAGACTCGTGCACATACATTTACTAACCTTAGACCAATTGTAAATATAAAAAGGTAAACGTGAACCAATCCTGTGCATGTGTATAAATGTGTCTGCTCTTGTTCCTGGTGTGTGTTAGCAGTGTGTCTGCGCGTCTGAGTCTGCGCAGTCTGCGGCAGGTGTACGGCGTGCTGAGCGAGCGCTACGGCGTCAGCGTCTCCTTCACGCAGCTGCAGCAGGAGCTGGAGCAGGAGGAGGAGGAGCAGGAGGAAGAGGAGTGCCCCGAGCTGCACCTGGCCCTGTCCGAGACGCAGCCGGAGACAGCATACGCCGGCATGACCATCTCACGCCTGGTGCAGGAGGACGACAGCCAGCTCAGCGCTGAGGAGGAGGCTCAGAACGAGGAGGAGACGCAGATCAGGTCACTGACCTCCACAGATCTGACCCTCACAGTATTCACTCTAAAGCCCCGTTCACACCAAGCACGATAACTATAGAGATAAAGATATCGTTCTCAATAATAAAGAACGGCAGAGTCCACACCACAGCTGTAACGATAAAGGCGCAGAGAAACGATATCGTTTGAATCTCTTTCAGAGCGATTTTTTTTCCCAGCTTGATGAACGATGCAAACATTGACAGCCAATCAGAATCCATCCTGCTGTCACGAGCTGGAGAATTTAAAGCGACAGACGCACGCGCATGTGCTGAGAATAAGCAGACGATATCGTTCGCTGGTGTGGACGCTAATATCATTATCTTTATAGTTATCGTCCTTGGTGTGAACGGGGCTTTACAGCCGTAACCACACAGAGGAGCAATAGCGCTTCCAGAACCATTAAAAACACTGACAGCCAATCAGAACCTGTGTGACGTTACAGAGCTCCAGCATTCTGACTATAGCTGCTGTTGTAGTTCTGCTTACAGCTGTTGACTTACACTACCAGTCAGAAGATTTTGGACCGTAAGATTTTTAATGCTTTTTTTGCATTTGCATTTATCTAAAATATAAATATTTTCTATTTATTTCAGATAAATGCTGATCTTTGATCTTTCTATTCATCAAAGAATCCTGAAAAAATATACTCAACTGTTTTAAATATTGATGATAATAATAATAATAAATGTTTGAGCTCCAAATCATCAAAATAGAATGATTTCTGAAGATCATGTGACACTGAAGACTGGAGTAATGATGCTGAAAATACAGCTGTGCATCACAGAAATAAATTACAGTTTAACAGATATTCAAGTTATTCTAAACAGTAAAAATATTTCAAAATGTCACTGTTTCTGCTGTATTATGGATCAAATAAATGCAGGCTTGGTGAGCTGAAGAGACGTCTTTAAAAAGCATCACAGATCTTCTGACTGGTAGTGTAGTTGTGTGTGTGAATGGGCCTGAGCTCTTCTCTGAAGGCAGCGTGTGTTTCAGGATCGTCGTTCCCAGCGGCCCAGACTCAGACGATCCTGAGGTCCAGACATCTGTCAGACGCTCAGACACACAGAACAGGTTCAGCAGCAGGTCACATGCCAGATCATTGTGTTGTGTACCGTCCAGTGTCTGACCGCTGTGTGTGTGTGTGTGTTTCAGTGAGGGTTCATCAGCTCAGATCTGCACTCCTGCTCGTCACACACAGAAACACAACAGGTGCGTCAGCATCAGACATCTTCACCACGCAGCTCTCAGTCACGGAGTCCATACTTTTGCCCCAGTGTCTGTACTGTGTGTTTTGATCGTGAAACGGTAATGTGTTTTGCCCATTGAGAAGCTTAACGCAGGGCTTTATACAGTACAGACTGTGTCGAAGCAGCTCCACAGAGATCACCAGGATGAGAGGTCTCGGTGATAATCAGGGCTGATAGATCTGTGTGTCCCACAGGATCCTTCTGTCCAGTGATGTGGAGTCTGAGGGTCCCGCCGCGTCTCCTCCAGCCAGCAGACGCTCATCCAGACACAAACAGCAGCAGAAGAAGAGCGATCTCAGGTGATTCACAATCAGATTCACATGAGCTCAAACTCATATCAACAGAAAGTCTTAATGAAGACGTTAGTCAGCGATGGAGAAGTTGATGTGATTATAGGTGTTTCTGATGGACTGAAACACTGGACTGCGCTCTAAACGCTGACAGGACGGTCATATTCCTCTCAAAGTGCTGCACTGTGTTCATTTACACACGAGCAGCTCGTGATTCAGTTCACTGTTACTGCTGTGACAACACAACATGTGCCGAGCATCGTCCATTACTAATGGTTTATGAATGTGTTGTCAACAGAAGAGACTCTCTGTGGTTTAATGAGTGAATCTGGTGATCGTGTCTTGATTTCAGTGAGTCTGAGTGTGTGCTGATGGAGGTGCAGTGTTCCTCAGCTCAGGTCTGCTCTCCCGCTCGTCCCAGCAGCAGCAGCAGCTCTCCGGCCGTCAGACGCTCAGACAGAGACACACAGAGGCAGAGCAGGTGCGTTTACGACTGTACGTCCTCATCACAGACACACGTGTGTGTTCAGAGTCACTGAGCGCCGTCTCCCGCAGGATCCTTCTGTCCAGTGATGTGGAGTCTGAGGATCACGCCGCGTCTCCTCCAGCCAGCAGACGCTCATCCAGACACAAACAGCAGCAGAAGAAGAGCGATCTCAGGTGAGGACTGGGACTCACACGAGCTCACACTCGTATCATCAGCATCTGATCAACCGTTAGGACCGCTTCTCATTCAGTTTTAATGAGGCTAATGACACTCGAAACTCGTCATTTATACACAGTACTAATAATGTAAATCTCCAGTGAAATGTTAACAGTTGGACAGAGGCATACATCATCTAGTGTTTTCATTATGGAGCGAGTTTTGCTGTAATGCTGCATTAACCTGTTAACCCGCACCTGGACGCCTCTTTGTTTGCACGTGTCAATGTTTACGAATAGATTAAATGAAACGGGACATAATTAATCTTGACAAACTATATATCATTCTAAAGGTCTAAGCCTCAAGCATCGACAATAGATCGCTGTTTTTCAATGGAAGGCTTATAAAGAATGTATTTGCTAAATCTGTGTAAGCGGTACACATCAAAACATGCATAATCAAAACGCAGTACGTACCAGGTTCATCGTAATAACGAGTCATAAACGCGTCCACAGCTGTAAATCCCGGTTTAGTTAAGGGTCCACTGAACAACACCCATAGAGCACTTTTAGTCCAACGAAGCAATAACGTTGTAATATGGATGGTAATTCCTTTGTTTACGTCTCATTTCTTCGGGGACAGTTATTGTTTGTATCCGTTATGGAATAACTTGCGCTCAAAAAACTGCATCTTGGTAGTAAAAAGCAACATGGTTTTGTAGCATACAGTGTCACAAACAGAATGAGACCATCCACAAAAAAAAAGTCAAAGATACGCGGAATATTGTTTATTTGAATTCTGGCTGTCTCGTGACGGCTCGTGACGCACCTGTCATCTGTTGGGGGCGTAACTTAACGATCGGCTTTTTGCACAAATAATTCTTTTTTTCTTCTTCAACATTTTTCATATCTGTGTGTGTGTGTTTTGTGGGGAATGTGGCTGTATCTGCATGATTACAATCTGTATGACCACACATCAGCGTGTGATTACTGTATGACTGCTATCACTAGGCGCGTTTCCATTACCCTTCGAATTGTGCAAATTGAAATTGCGAATTTAAAATACGCCTAATGGAAACGCGTCAATTTTGCAAAAACGCCCATATATTGCAAAAAAGTTTTTACGCTCGCATGAGGTGGTTTTTCAGGCAATGCGAAAAAGGAATATACACATTTAAAAGAATTATTGCAAAAGGTGTGGCTTTTCACAGAGTTCAGTCAGATCATTGCCCTTAACTACACTGAAAAAAAAATTGGTGTAAGAGAAACCATTTCGCGCATCAGGGCGCCGCTATCAATATGTGGGGTATTTAAATCCCCTTTGAATGAGCGCTCGCAGTTCACTTTCGATTTCGCGATCGCGCACGCACTGTGTAAAGGGAGCACATCTTACGATAAAAGATATTTGTCAGTGAGCTTGGGATCAGTTGAGGAGCAAATCCTCCAACATCTTGTCAGTTATCTCTATTTACTTCTGACCCGTGATCAGTCAAATCTGACTTCTGCAGCTAGAGTTGGATGCAGGGTTGTTGTTGTTGTTTTTTTTCCACGAAATTGGGCTGCTTTTAAACTGTTGCCATGGGCTGATTTTCTCCAGTGGGTTAAAGGTTTGAAATGTTGCATAAATTATATCTGGTTGAAATGCTTGTACTGAAACATTTTGCATTCTACCTGTAATAAAACTGGGCTAAATGTTTTGGACCACACTAGTAGGAAGCATTTGAGCTGTGTTTATGATAAATGTGCATAACAGTGATTGTAAAATATGTACTTTGGGGTGGAAATTACATTTTTATATATGGGACATGGTAATTGCGCTACTTTGGGCTATTTTATTTTAACTGGCATGGGCTTGGGATGCAGAATTAAAATGATGTAATAGTTGTGATCATTATTTTAGCTTCCATGATCATTCAGACTTGATCAGGTGCAGTACTGACACTCTGATCAAATCAAGCACTCCGTAATCACAGCTAAACCGTCTGATCAGTCAGATGTTTGTCATGAGAAGTGCTCCACACAACAGCTATGGTTTGCAGACAGTTATAAGAGTTGATGTTACAAATACATCTTTTGAATATACTGTGTGAACTCGGAGAGCTTTATTTTCCCTCCTCAATAAGTTTTGTCAGTTGTTTTGTTTATTGGTCTAATTCTTGTTTCTTGGGTTGCATTGGTTAGTCACTCAATTAATTCCCTTGTGCTTCGTTCCCCCCTTCTGAATTATGTTGTATTGATAAGGAGTTATCACAAAGTAAGTCTGTTTAGTTGCGCTATCTTACAATCAATATATAGTGCACACTGAAGTCAGGAACTGTTACCATTTTAAGTTAGGTACGCCATTTTCAGCTGTGAGTCCCAAACTGCGGCGTGCAGGTTAACAGGTTAAAGCACATCATTCTGCACCTGGGATGTGCATAGAAGTGCTTTAGGGCACTAAATCAGACATTTTTGCGCAATCAGGCATAGTTCATATTTAGCCTGTATAGTTTTGTTCCTATGGCTGCATAATGTCTAATAATGCAGTCTTATAAGAGCCATGAGGAACAACACTGAGCTTCACTTCCCAAAAGCATTGTAAGCTTAAATCATTATTCTGTGCTCGCGTTCACTCGTCCAGAACAGAGTGTGCAGGCAGAAGTTCACTTCAAGAATCAATCAAGTGCATGAGTGCAGGTGTTTGCAAAATGTGGAAGACAGAACTGTATTCTTATTAGAGAAAGTCTTCACTAAAGCCACACAAAGTCTTAATGAAGACGTTAGTCAGCGATGGAGAAGTTGATGTGATTATAGGTGTTTCTGATGGACTGAAACACTGGACTGCGCTCTATACGCTGACTGGACGCTCATATTCCTCTCAAAGTGCTGCACTGTGTTCATTTACACACGAGCAGCTCGTGATTCAGTTCACTGTTACTGCTGTGACAACACAACATGTGCCGAGCATCGTCCATTACTAATGGTTTATGAATGTGTTGTCAACAGAAGAGACTCTCTGTGGTTTAATGAGTGAATCTGGTGATCGTGTCTTGATTTCAGTGAGTCTGAGTGTGTGCTGATGGAGGTGCAGTGTTCCTCAGCTCAGGTCTGCTCTCCCGCTCGTCCCAGCAGCAGCAGCAGCTCTCCGGCCGTCAGACGCTCAGACAGAGACACACAGAGGCAGAGCAGGTGCGTTTACGACTGTACGTCCTCATCACAGACACACGTGTGTGTTCAGAGTCACTGAGCGCCGTCTCCCGCAGGATCCTTCTGTCCAGTGATGTGGAGTCTGAGGATCACGCCGCGTCTCCTCCAGCCAGCAGACGCTCATCCAGACACAAACAGCAGCAGAAGAAGAGCGATCTCAGGTGAGGACTGGGACTGTTTTCCCCCACCCCTGCTTTATATGTAGCTGTTTCCACTGCTGACTGCACTGTGTGTGTGTGTGTGTGTGTGTGTGTGTGTGTGTTTCAGTGCGGGTGAATCCGCTCCGGTCTCGACTCCTGCTCGTCCCAGCAGCCCTGCATCCGTCACACGCTCAGACAGAGACACACAGAACCAGAGCAGGTACGTCTGTCTTTGAATTCATGTTGATTTCTCTGTCAATTTAATGGAAGATTTGGTTTCAAACGATTAAAGCTCAATCATGAACAACAGCATTGGTTAAAAAAAACAACTCGCAGCCTTTTAAGATATGGATTGAATAATGGCAGTAAAATAGACACTTAAATGTGAGTTTTGGATGTTTTCTTTCCTTCAGTCTGAAAGGAGACATGTCGAGTGGTTTTGCCTGTGGAGTGTTGAACTGAATAACTGACTGTGTGTGTTTCACAGTGAGATGGAGGTGGAGGATGGAGGTTCATCCGTCCAGCACTCGACTCCTGCTCGTCCTAGCGCCACAGACGCACCGAGGCAGAACAGGTGTGTTTGTGACTGTGCATCATCATCCTCCTCAGGGCTCTGATGGGCCGTATGTGACGTGTGTCTTCTCCTCAGGAGTGTGACTGTGTCCAGCGAGTCTGAGGATCACAGCTCGTCTCCTGCAGCGCAGACGCCCCGCCGCCGCAGCTCTCCGTCCTCTGGAGGAGCTCACAGGAGGAGGAGGTCCGTGTGACAGGAGCGCGCGCACGCGTGTGTGTGTCTGTGTGTGAGACACGGACTGACGCTGTGTGTGTGTGTGTGTCTGTGTGTGAGACAGACTGACGCTGTGTGTGTGTGTGTGTGTGTGTGTGTGTCACACGGACTGACCCTGTGTGTGTGTGTTTCAGGGCCAGATGGCAGGACGTGTCCGGGACGCACGAGAACTGGAGCGACGAGGAGTCACTGTTCAGCGCCACTTCAGGTGCACACACTAGCCGTGCCATATTAGTATCCATAATTACCATTGCTATTGATGATAAGGCATTATTGTGTGGTGATATTTTGATGATATAGTGTGTTTTGTGCTGGTTTTCTTCATATTCTGTGAAGTACTGTTTACTCTGATACTTGCCACCTTAAACTAGGGCTGTGCAAACGATTGTCCTGTGCATCTCGTCAGTAAAGCCGGTTCTGTGATTAGTAGTAAATCTCCATCACCTGCTTTCAGACGGAGCGGCATTTAAAACAGAGAGCCGTAGTTCATTGACAAGCTACACAATATCACGTTCATTATCGGCGAGGAATCGCCTGCGATTAACTGATTCCCACCTTAAACTGATTTACAGGCGAAATTTACCATTATAGGGACATTTTTCCTAATCTTATTAGAAGTATGCTTCTTCTTTTATGTTAAAGTCTTACATTTAATCAGTAACTTCAATTAGAATAAGAAACTGTAGACTGTTACTAATCAAATGAAATCAGGATCAACACAATCCATCTTTGACTGCAGGCTGTGCATCTGAAGCAGCAATAAATGTATTTACAGTGCAATTACTGTTTCATAAATAATGGGTCAAGGTGTCCTTGTTACAGTATAATTATACATTTAAGTATGGAGTAATATTAATTCACTACATGTACTTACTATATGGTTAGGGTTTGGCTTAGAGTTATTTGCATGTAATTATGCATAATTAATAGTTATTATAATAGTAAGTGTATGTAACGTGTAACAAGGACACCTTAAAATAAAGTGTTACCTAATAATGCTAGGAGATTATTTTAAAAACAGTATTTTGAATATTGACATTTGAAATGTTATTTTTAAGCATGAGTTATTATAATAGTAAGTGCATATAACATTTGTAACAAGGACACCTTAAAATAAAGTGTTACCTAATAATGCTATGAGATTATTTTAAAAACAGTATTTTGAATATTGACATTTGAAATGTTATTTTTAAGCATGAAACTAAAACAGCCTGTAGGTGGCAGCAAGTGACTGTCGTGATGAGTGAGTCATTGAATTATTTACTCAACCGATTCTTTTAAACAGCTGATTCATTCAGGAATAAAGCAAGTGACTTTCATTCTGAATGGATTGTTGAATCATTGATTCGTTCAGCAATTAAATAACACTGCATGTTGCTCAGAGACGCGCAGCAGTTGTCTGGATCTATTTTCAGCCGTGAAATACAGCAAAATTGACAGAAAACAAACAATGTTGTGCTTAAAATGTAGCATAAACAATATGAACTTATTGAAAGTGCAGTTGCGCTGATATATTGGGGGAAAATATGTGATATTGCTAAACTATATGTGACCCTGGACCACAAAACCAGTCACAAGTGTCAATTTTGTGAAATTGAGATTTATACATGTGATCATACGCTAATGTTTCTGCCTCACGTCTGTCTGTTTCAGATCGGTCCAGTAAGAAGTACAGCAGGAAGGTGTGTATTTGTCCATCAGCCGCTCCTGTGTGTGTGAAGTGTGCACTAACGTGTGTGTGTGTGTGTGTGTGTGTGTGTGTGTGTGTGTGTCAGATGTGGACGGTGCAGGAGTCGGAGTGGCTGAAGGAGGGAGTGCAGCGCTTCGGCGTGGGACACTGGGAGAAGATCCGCTCCGCCTTCCCCTTCACCGGACGCACCGCCGTCAACCTGAAGGACCGCTGGAGGACCATGCTCAAGCTCAGGCTGGTGTGACCCACACGTGTTTTATCATGTTTTATACTCATGTTCCTGTTTTAAAACCATGTGTTCAGCTTGTGTTCCTTATTAAACGTTTGTTCTGTTCGTGCAGCGCTGCTGTCGTTATTCATTCAGTGCCGTCCTTAGATTTGAGCAGTGGTTCGTTCAGTGAAAATCAAATCAAGGAAGAAATCAAAATCTATGCATCTCTGTTTGTTTGTTTATTTATTATATACATAATATACATTATACATAATACATTTTAAACTTTAAAAAATTAGGATTTAAAAAAAAAATGTTTTTGATGCTTAATGTTCACCACGGCTACTTTTATTTGATCAGAAATATTGTAAAATATTATTACAAAATATACATTTTGAAAGGAATATGAATTGATTTTAGTTGTTTTGGTTGTTTAGTAATTAAAATGGAAAAAAAATGGTGAACAGTGAAACACGTTTTTAAAACGGAAGAAAAAATACAAAATCATTTTGTTTTTGATACACACATTCAAACCTTGACAGCCCATCTTCATTAAACATGAACAATGATCGATTTATTTTAATAAATGCAAAATCAAGTCAGCACACGTAGCCCCAAAATAATACAATGAAAATAACAACGAAATACACTGATTGAAAACTGAACTAAATCAAATGTTCAATTGCCATGTTTCCATCCACAATTATGCACAAAATTGTAATATCGCATGGTGGAATTTATTCGGTAAATGTTTCCATCGTAGTTTATGCACATTTTTTTCTTATCGGATAAAAAAGTTGATCCTACTCAATTGTGCACATACATTTTTAGAATTTATGCACATCTTGGTGTTTTTATTTTATGCGATATTCCAAAATATGCATAAAAATAGGTGGATGAAAACATGGCTATTGTCAAGCGGATGGAGGACCACCATGAGGAAATCTGTGATCCATTCCTGGCTCTGCTGTCAGCTGATGAACATCAGTCACTTCCTCTGGGTTTGACATGAACATTTATAGAGACGTTCATCCACACGTGTGCAAAACAACGTCACTGCGCCGCAGAAACTGATGCTCTTCCTCAGTGCCAGCGTCTCATTTTCCAGCGCAAACATCCTCCAATCAACATACATTCACTGGAGATGCAAAAAAACTGTATAAACAGTAAATGAAATCACATTTATAATATTCCAACTCTTGCACACTACAGCAAAATACACTGATGTTCAATAAATAGTGATTTTTAATAGTTATTAATGCACTTATAGAAACTCTTCAGATGTATTGGGATTGTTTTCTTCAGTGTTGACGGCAGTGACTTCATTTATTCACAGGAAACATGCGAGCAGAAACACTGTAAGGGGCTGTTCACCCAGAACACATGTAAAACGCGAGACGCGACGTCAGCAATGGTTTCGAAAAAACTCCTCTGCCATGTTGCCGTCAAATAAAACAGTTGCCATGCCAACCTGCTCCTGTAAACAAAAGCTTGCAACGCTTGCTCCGCCTCCAGGGTCTTCTGATTGGTCCGCTGTGTGTAAAAGTTTAAATTCTTTAAAAAAGGCTACGCTCTGACGTTTGAATCCCGAACCTTTCCCGATCCCCCCCCCTGTCCCACCTCACTTCTTGTCCTAATAAAGGCAAAAATAAGACGCGACGCTCATGTGCAAGACGCGATGCACCAGTCATAGTATGTATTCATAGAGAAAGAATGTAAAGCAGCGCACTGTAGTGAACGGCCCCTTGTGTTGCGTTCAGCACTGGCAGGGCTGCTGCTTCTGGCGCTCTGCTAGCAACGGCCCGCTGACGACGGCGCGAGAGTTAGTGCGCAGCAGCACGTGTGTGTCAGCGTCCGGCGTGACGCTCAGGCCGTTCTGCTGCAGCAGCTGCCGCGCCATCATGACGAACGCCTCCTCCACGCTCCGCTTCTCCCGCGCTGACGTCTCCAGAGCCGCTAGCATGCCCTGCTCCTCCGCTAGCTTACAGGCGTCTGAGAACGGCACCTGCCGCTCCGCCTCCAGGTCGCGCTTGTTACCTGAGGAGACGGAGAAGAGCTTTAGAAACATAATCAGACTATGTTTACATGGACATCAGTAATCTGATTATTTACCTTATTCTGAATAAGACAATATCATGATTAAGGTGTTTACATGAGCTGCTTTTAGAATATTCCTTTCATGTTCCCGATTTTACATGTTATAATGCATAGATCGATTAATGGCACACGTCATTACGCCCCCTCCAGAATTTCTCATTTCAACAGTTCGTCTTCGTTATGGTGCCATATACAGTTCTGGGTGTTTCATTTTTAATTTTATGAAAGCTTCAAGTGCAGTTAATTATTTGGCGTGCTATACGTGCAAACAGACGACGGTCTTGTTGAAGCCATGCTCTTTTGTTTGCCATCAAACGGTTGACGTGTGTGTGTCCTGTCACAAAATGCGGCGAAAAGTCCTACACGACGGTAATAATGTGATTTAAGTGTGTACATGTCTATACTGCACTTCAATAATGCGACTAAAATAGGAATACTCCACGTCTTAATTTGATCTGTTTACTTCGAGTATGACTTTAGCCGGATTAAGTAATCAGAAACCTCTGTTTACATGATACAGTCTTAATCAGAGTATTGTCTTAATGGGAATATTGTCTTAATCAGAGTATTGTCTTAAAGGGAATATTGTCTTAAAGGGAATATAGTCTTAATCGGAGTATTGTCTTAAAGGGAATATTGTCTTAAAGGGAATATTGTCTTAATCGGAGTATTGTCTTAATGGGAATATTGTCTTAATCAGAGTATTGTCTTAATGGGAATATTGTCTTAATCAGAGTATTGTCTTAATGGGAATATTGTCTTAATCAGAGTATTGTCTTAATGGGAATATTGTTGTCCATGTAAAGGTACTGGCAGTGTTTCAGAGATGGTCACCTATGAGCGCGGTGAGCACGTTGGCGGCCCCGAAGCGCTGCAGCTCGTGGAGCCAGCGGAGCGTGGAGTCGAAGGTGTCCCTGCGGCTGATGTCATAGGCGATCATGGCCCCGTGAGCGCTGCGGTAGTAGCTCTGCGTGATGGTGCGGAAGCGCTCCTGTCCCGCCGTGTCCCACACCTGCATCTGCACACACACACACACACACACTGATCACTGGAGATCACAGAAACACACCTGTGTGCTCAACAGCACTCGCACCAGTGAGAGCAGCAACGGCCAGAGATTGTCTTACTGTAAGGAGATGAGGGGGTCTGTATTACTTACTATTGGAGAAAGCGTAACGGCTAACTCGGATCACGTGTGCCTTAATAACCAATCACATTACAGCCTTGACGTCATTGAATTTCAGTCAGAGTTGTGCGACACTCAGTCGCTGTTCATGGATCCTATAGGAATTAATGAGAGTGCTGTAAACTGAATCTTACCTGTCGCAAAAAGTCAGTGACTTCTCTTATAAAACAGCATTTTTTTTTGTGGTAAACTAAAAATAGTTAAATCCAAAAGCATTGTTTAGTGTAAAACATGTTGGAGATTAGCCGATAGGCTGTCAATTCATTAAATGATATGCTGTTTCCTCTGAAAAGCTGTTTATTCAGCGTAGTGAAGCCTCTCCTCCATCGACATCCATTCAAAGAAAACTGCCTCTGGTCTCATTTCCAGAACTGGAAGCGTTAGCTTTAGCATTACACTTTTTTGGCTAAAGGTTGCTGGCTTGCCTTCTATTGCCTTTGGCAACGGCTGACTGCATATTCAACACTGAACACTACACACTGTGTACTAAACATTCTGCCTACTGAACACTACACTGCATACTAAATACTGCATACTGCCTACCGAACACTACATTTCATACTGCATACTAAACTGCACACTGTGTACTAAACACTGCATATTGGGTACTAAACACTGCATACTGCCTATTGAACACTACATTTCATACTGTATACTAAACACTGCATACTGCATAATAAATAAGGCTGTCATGATAACCACAATATTGCAATAATGACAAGCCAACCGCAGAGTATGACAAGCACACTGCATACTATCTACTGAACTCTGTACACTGCATATTGCGTACTAAACATACTGCATACTGTACACTGCATATTGCCTACTGAACACTCTATACTGCATGCAGATTTGACCCTACACTGCATACTAAACACTGCATACTGCCTATTGAACACTACACTGCATACTAAACACTTCATACTGCCTATTGAACACTACATTTAATTCTGCATACTAAACACCACATATGGACCCAAGTTTCCTATACTTCTTTTTAGTAAGTACATTTATAACACTATACTTTGTTTTATATTAGCCTACATTTGCATCAAATTACAAAAAAATTGTTAACGCTCCTGTGAGGGTGTTTCTAATACAGCAATACTGCATACTGAACACTGTTCACTGCCTATTGAACAGTGTACACTGCATACTGAACACTGCACTGTATACTGAATACGGCATACTGAACACTGCACTGTATACTAAATACTGCATACTGAACACTGTTCACTGCCTATTGAACAGTGTACACTGCATACTGAACACTGCACTGCATACTGTATACTAAATACTGCATACTGAACACTGTTCACTGCCTATTGAACAGTGTACACTGCATACTAAATACTGCATATTGTACACTGTATACAGTGTGTTGAACCCCGTAAACTGTTTATTAAACACTGCATACATACATACTGCCTTCTGCTTGTTGTATGTTGAATACTGCGTACTGACTCGTGCTCAGTGTACACTGAACATTGTACACTTCATTCTGCCTACTGCTGAGTATATACAATGACTAATATACACTACTGAACACTACATAGGCATGAGAGCAGTACACTACATCCGCTGTACACTGACTATTTAACACTACTACATACTGCATATTGAACAATGTATTCTACACACTGCCTGCTGAATAGTGTGCACTGCATACTGTCTGCTACTAAGTATAACATACTGCTTACTGAACATATATATGAAATGTATTTTAGTATTGTAAATATAGTATAGCAAGTGAAGAACTCTGTTAAATTGCGTTTGTCAGACGTTACTCTTGTTACACGTCAGCTTCATGTAGATTCATCTCACACACACACATAAACAAACACAAAGTGCATGTTTATCTGTGAAGCAGGAAGCAGCGTGTGTTTATCTGGATCAGCACTTCCTGTTTGAGCGTCTATAGAGGACAGACCTGCTGATCCGGTTCTGCTGCCTGAACCGGTTCGGTGTCAGAATCACACTGAGCGCTTGGTTTTAAACGGCGGTGACCTCTGACCTTCACTCTGCGGCCGTCGATGCGGAGCGTGCGCACGGTGAAGTCCACGCCGATGGTGTTCTGCTGCGCCTCGGAGAACAGGCCGCTCTTGAAGCTCTGCACCAGGCTGGTCTTGCCCACGTTGGAGTCCCCAATGAGGATGATCTTGAAGAGGAAGTCGAAGGAGTCGTCCCGAGGATCCTCTGGCTCCATGAGTCTGCTCTGCTCTGCTCTGCTGCTCTCTGTGCGCTCGCTCCTTCCTCCTCTACCTGGACAAACAGGTGAAACCGCCACCTGCACAGCTGCATTGTGGGTAATGTAGTGCAGCAGGCAGCAGCTCAACTACAAGCACACACAACATGACATTTAATATCTGCTGCCGTGAAAAACTAAGCTACAAGCCAGAGCCACTGCAGATGATGTTTAGTGGTCAGTGAAAGCAGGTGCTTCAGCTTCACAGAATGTTGATCATTAACCTCAAAGTCAATATTATATGAGCTACAACACGTTATGAAACATGGGTTTGTATGATTTTATTATTATTTATTTTTAGCAAGAATCACTGAAAAAACTCACAACCAAATATAATAGTTCAGGTTATTTTGGGACCAAATGTTGGTTACGGATTACTTATATTTCCCCATGAATTATTATTTTATATACATTTTTAAAACTTTCACTCTCTCTATATATATATATAATATTGGCAACAGGATTGAATGGTTGCGCATCATGTGTGCAAATTGAAAAAATGGAATGAAAATTTTTAAATTATTAAAATATGGTAAATATTTAGCTACTATAAAAATAGTTTGGGTCCAAATTATGACACTGATGTTTGGTTTTAATTGTTGGATACAGTTGAGAACCAATCAAACTTAGGTTTCTAGCTTACTAAACTAGCTACTTTATCTTTATATGTTAGATGCTAGTTTTTCAAACAAAGCTAATCGTTGCTAACTTAACGTTACATTAAAAAAAAGACGGTGCGTCTAATGCGTAGATAAAAGTCACGGGACACCAAAGTGTGCTGCATTTGTGTAAAGTTCCGCAATTTAACAAACTAATATCGTGAGTAGGTTTATTTAGTAATTATTAGCTTAGCGGGATATTATTTTGTATTACTAGTTTAATTCGTGTTTATCGCGCACTGCAGGGACTCTTAAGTTGAAGAGTGTTCGTGCGGAAACGCGTCACAGGAAGCGGTTGGTCTGTCGCGCTTCTCTCTCTAGTCCGTTCTTCCGGCGGCGTGCTCGTCTCTTCAGCGCATCGTGTGATCATCATGGTGAGCGCTGAAGTGTTTGAATCGTGTTTTAATGAGTGTGTAATGAGCGAGAGACGCGTGTATGTGTGTGTGTGACTCTGTAGCGAGATCCGCGCTGTATTCCGGCGGAGAGCCAGGCTTTGTGCGCTCCACGCGCCTCAACAATGAGCTTCTAGTGTGTTCTGAGGAGGGCGGAGTCATTAACATTATAAACTCATTATTATTATTATTACTACACGGAGAGTTGTGCAGAGGATGGTAGTGTGCTTTGAATATGAGGTTTAATTAGTATATCATAACACAGCTAAGTATTCACATGATGGTAGGATTAGTGAGATAATCTAATTATTCCGGTAACGTTATTGTGCTCTGGATGGAGTCGAAATATGGTGTGTTTTATTAGAATAACAACAATATTAATTTATTATTGCAGGCTTATTCAAATTACAACATCAAATTAAGATATTATGAATGTAATGTGATTTTGTCTAGTGTTAGTGTGAAAATAATATCAATGTAACTCTTAATAATAGTGTAACTTTATTATTAATATTGCCCTACTGTTTTGTCAAATCTCAAGCAAACGCTGTGTCTAGAAAGCTTTCTCATATATTTCTCAAGAGATGAACAAAGTAATGATAAATGCCAAATCTATAAGCTAGTTTCTTCATAATAGTTTCCTGAGTTATCAGTTATTATTAAAGTTCGTACTGTTTTCTGTAGACACAGATTCATATTGCTCATATCAGTCCAATCATACATGTGTAACGCATGTTAAATAGAATAGGTCATTGAAAATGCCCATGTTGGTGTTGAGACTATCTGCTTTGCTGCTGCTGCAGGCGTCTCTATCGATGGCCCCCGTCAGCATCTTCAGTCACGGAGCGGATGAGGAGAAGGCAGAGACGGCGCGTCTGGTGAGTGATGCTCGCTCTCTAGAGCTGCTTCATGACCCCTCATCCGTCTGACTGTGTCTCTGTGTGTCGCAGTCGTCCTTCATCGGCGCCATCGCAATCGGGGATCTGGTGAAGAGCACTCTGGGGCCCAAGGGCATGGTACGACTCGCACGCACACACACGCTCATCACAGTGACCCTGATCACTGACCTCTGACCTCTGACCTCACAGGACAAGATCCTGCTGGGCGGCGGCCGGGACAGCAGCGTGACCGTCACCAACGACGGAGCCACCATCCTGAAGGCCATCGGCGTCGACAACCCCGCCGCCAAAGTGCTCGTGGGTCAGTTCCTGTCACATGACCGCGGAGACGCTCCTATAAATTATATGAGCATTATAAATGCCTTCACTAGCTGCGAATCTAACTTGTGTGCGAAATTGTAACGTCGCGTAAAACATTTGCGAATAAACCATTTTTTACCATTAAACCAATTTAAAAGGCATGATTTCAGTTAAAGGGAAAAACGCGTTTGGCTTCTCTCCTGAGGCCACAAGAGGGCGCATCGAGCAAAATATCACTGATGCACGTTTATTCAAAGCAATAAAATAACACGACTCCCTTTAAGAAAAGTACATAATGTTAAAAATTGTGTTTATAAACCATATGTAATTAAGTTGCTTAAACAATTAGAAACAAAACGGCGTCGTGTAAGTATGTATAGTTTAATACAAATGACCGAAAACCAATCACAAAGAGTACGTTTTCATTTAAAAACACGAGATGCAGTGGGATGCGGAAAAGCCGCCATAAAGTTTTGAGACATGTTTTTGTAAAAGTTGAGCTTTACATGGCTTTCTAAACATGCGGCTCTCTTGTGCGAGACGCGAGTGCAGCGGTGATAGATGTCCCTCTAGAAAATGTGATAAATATGTGTTCTGTATAAACAAGATCTTCTCCGCATTGATGTTCTCTTTTTCCTGCAATATATTGAATGAACAACGCAGCAGCGCCATCTAGTGGCTTCAGCTGGATAGAATAAGAAAAACATTCAAATGCAACGACACTTGCATCGTCATCGCATCTCGTGCGCCGCTGATGAGGCAGCCTGACGAACACCTAAAATCCAAATGCAACGTTTTTACATTCGAATGTGGATTTTTATTTTTTTATTTATTCGAAATTCAAGCATTTTTACCCCTCTGGTCCTCTTTGTTTGGGAGTTACACTTGGCTCCTTCGCGGTCAAAAGTGACTGAAGCCATGAAATGTAACTTCTTTTTTTTTTTTTCAGGAAAATCAATTTAATAAATTTTTGTTCAATAATATTTTTTTAATTATTATTTAGAATTTTGAGGGGATTTTAAGATATTATGCAATGTTTATAGAGGTTTAATTAGCTATCTTTCCCCACAAGAATTAATGTATTTTTATTTAATTATTATTTTTCAATAAATGGATTCCCATTGTTTTTTAGACACTCTTCATTTTATTAGGTTTTGCTTTTAGATATATATTCAGACATTCTAAAACTACTTTGTCAAGGTTTAGATATTTTTGGTTAGATAAATATCAGGTTTTGCATTATCATTACAATCAAACATTGTGTGTGCATGGGTGTCTATTTTTCACTCTTGATATTTTAGAGAGTCACC